TGATGATACATGATGATATTTGTTGATGATGAATGATAGAGATGATATGATACATGATGATGGTGGTGATACATGATGATGGAGCCTAGCTCTGTTGTGATAAGCTAAAGATTAATAGGTTTTAGATTAAGTATGTTCCATTAACTATGGTTCAACCTACTTTTTGATGTCCCAAAGCATACAGAAAGTTGTGAAAAGCAGGCGACTTCTGGTTCTGTTCGTCAATATAATCCCACAATGATTTACCAGTTTTCTTGCCATCGTCTTCAGTCATCCATCCAGCTTCATACCGCTCGTGTTCTGAGTCCAGTAGGAAAGTTCTAAAGCGCATTGACACGTGATGGTACGCAATGGTACAGAGAAAATTCTCGTTGAATTCAAACGACAGTGGAAACTGTCGCATAATCTACAGAGGAGAGATAAATGATAGATTATGCATCAGGATTTTTCTTCCCATAAACAAGATCTTTAGCAAACTTTTCTGAACAAGACAAGTAATCATTTAGTTGTCTACTACTTGACCATTTTTTTCTTTTCTAATTCTGTAGAATTTTTTTATTGTCAAATGTTTCATGTTTGCCATAAGCAGGATGCTTAAACTCTTTAATATAAACAGAAGTTACGGCAAACATCTGGATAAATTATGAATCAGAATCAAATGTCTCATTACTCTTTTTAAAACTGTCTAATTTATACAAATTTTCATAACTATTTTATTTTTTTCTTGAACTGGGTTGGTCACGTAATCATAAAAATGAGTGTAATGGCGTTGCGTGACATCACGCAATATGTTCCGTGACCTTGACTCCATTTATTCGCTTCTTACCTGATGTACAGCATCAAGAAACTGCAAGAATATTGGGGTGAATGAATTCTGTCTCTGTGCAGATGCCACCTGGTTACCTCGATGTAGGAAGCGATGCCCAAAGCCAAGCCATTCCTTCTCGATTAGTAGAATAAATCCTTTGATGGTTCGATAGTATGGATCGAGACATAGTTCTGCTAAGGACACAACCTGAGCGGATAACGCGAGAGAAACAGGTTACATACTACTACAACTACCAGAATCCTTTGCGCACTTTATGCCTTAATCTCAAGAGGCAATGAAAACTTGACGAAAATTTGGCAAGCATTACTACCAGAAATTATTTCTGGTAGTACTGTTAAAGTGGTGCCATCATAATGGCCTATTCTTCAGGTAATACCAGTGGCGAGCTTGCATAACGAAGGAACTTGGTGACGAGAACCTCATTTTCATCAAGGTAATTGATGAAAAATGGTGAATTGTGGTTTAGCTTGAGTACATATGACACTACATAGGCCACTTGCAACACTCAATGCAGCTCAATTTAGTAGATGACATTACAGCATTTTAATCTCATGCGAACTAATTAAGCGAAAAACGGAAAGTGGTAGCCAGGCTAGACCAGAAATAAATGAATATGTTGGAGCCATCTCACGAGTGGAACACAGTAACCAATGGTCGACTTTCAGAGACTCTCCGCATCACCTATTCCTCCTGATATTACACTTTTGTTAAAAGATACAACAAAAATGCCTTTGAAAGGAGGGTAAAACATGGAATGATGATGATGATGATATGATAATGATGATGATACATGATGATGATGCATGATGATGATACATGACAATGACATGATGATTGTTGGACAGTGAAATACCTGTGCTGTAACGTCCCAGCCATCTTCGAAGCACACCATGACAGATGAGCCTTGAATGTCAATAAGATCTACCAGAGCGTTCGATACATTGAGGACTGCGCTGAGCTAAAACAGAAGAATAAAGACAGACAAGGTTAGTAAAGAAAGATTACATTACCGCCATTATCATTAATAGCAGCACCAGCAAAACCAGCATTGTAAACCATTATCATCAGCATTCTAATTATCATACAATATTACCATCATTGTTATCATAATAATGTCCATTCATCAGTCATCGCCATCATCATAGATCATCATCATATTCATCAATAACAACAGCAACAATCATCATCATCATCGACATTATCATTCATCATCATCAATATCTTCATGCAAAATCAATATAATCATCATCATAATCATCTTCAATACTGACATAAACTTCATCATCATCGACATTATTATTCATCATCATCGCTATCATAATGTAACGTCACTTTAGTCATCATCATCATCATCATCATCTTCAATATACTAACAGAAAGATAAATCATCATCATCATCATCATGTAACACCAATATAATCCTCCTTATCATCAGCATCATCAGCATCATTAATTATTGTCATCATCATAACCGTGCAGACATTATTCTCTGAATAATACACATTACTACCTGATGTAGCCATTCAGATTCGTTAATCTGTTTATAAAAACTCTCAGTAGTATCTTGACTCGGGCAGCATGCTCTCTGGAACTTCTTGAAACATGCACGTACGGCGCGCACATCTGGTAGCTGAAAGTACATTGAAATAACAAAAGTTGTCAAAACTGGTTTTGTTTATGCTTTACAAGCCTGCTCTGACCAAGGGACTATAAGGTATGAAAAATATACATTGGGAACGTAATAACTGGGAAACCATAACCAGAAGTCTAAACAACTTTGGGGTTTCACACCTTCTGTCTTCCCTGTGGATGAACTAAGTTTATTAATGCAATGTTCTGAATGAAATTTCCAATGAACAGAACCTCAAAGAGAAATTATTCATGCTTCCAGTTGACATTGCAGATGGATTTTGGAAAACTTAAAGCCCCTTTTAGTTAAAATTGTAGCTCTCATCGTGAAAAAAAAACAAAAAAACAAAAAAGAAAAAGGAAAAAGAGAAAAAGGAAAAAGGAAAAAGGAAAAAAAAAAAAAAAAAAGAAAGCAAACTCAACTGAACTACATACATACCTCAACGGGGACAAATTCCACTTTAGAATAAGCTTCCTGCTTTACATTCTGAGAGGATAGAAACAGAATTACTCCATAAAATGCAAACAATCCTGTCTTACGAGAGCTAACACAATACTGAATTGATGACATGCATTGCATTACCAAGTGCCCCATCATGGGGCATTACATTCACCCCCCTAGAGGGCCTTTCGTGGTGTAGCAAGCTTTGTTGTATTGTGGTAAGGGTTTTTTTTTTGGAGGGTATTGTTAAAATCCAAATTCTTTATCCTTGGCTATTGCTTTATTGTGCCTTGCAACACCAAGAAAGAGCGCACTGCATTAAGAAGCTGTTCTTACCCGTAGGTGTTGTTTGTCTCCAAGAACATATAAAGCAGCTGGCTCCCATCCTTTTCTCTTTAGTGTATGGTCAACTAACTGACCAGCATCGACCTCTTCTGTCAGTTTACTGGAGATGAGTGGATTAAGAATCACCCCATGATGGAGTGAGTTTGCTCTTGCTACAGCCTTGTTCTTGGACAGGGGAGTTGCAGTAACTATGAGGAGAAACCTTATCAATACCCTGGAAGCTCTGGGCTGATCTAAGTCAGGGCACGGATAACTCACAGATTGAACCCTGAAACAACCTCTGGGCTGATCTAAGTCAGGGCATGGCTAACTCACAGATGGAACCCTGAAACAACCTCTGGGCTGATCTAAGTCAGAAACATCATTCTACCCCATTTCCCCATGAACTCCATACTCACCAACAGCTCCAAATAGCTTTTCTTGCTCCAGCGATGAGGAAGGTATAGACTGCCCCCCTGAGCTACCAATCCCTGAGCGAATGAGAGATGCCATACTGCTCCTCTCAATTCCTCCAGCACGTAGTAAAGTAGCCTTATTCTTATGGTGCTTCCAGATAGCTACAGGAAAACGTCCCTGCCGATGGTTTTTGGCCACTCTGAGAAGAGTGTCGTCTGAGATTGATTGTGGTATGACAAGAACTGCAGGGTAACTGAAAGTAAAGCACAATTCAGTTTATGAGTATGACCACGTTCTTGCAAGTAGGTGTATATATATATTTTTCTTGTTAGTTTTTTAAAATAATAACTTATATTTATCATAAGTATTGTAAGTATATGTATCATATTTTATTAATTCATTCATGTAAAGCGCTTTTGATCATTTTAATGTTAAAAGGCGCTATAGTAAGTTAATAAATTATTATTACTATTATTATTAAGTGAGCCTTCATAAGGGACCTTGCAGAATGTAGAGGTAGTGCATGTCAAGTGAACCTCACGGAAGAGCCCTGTATGTGGAGTGGTGGTTGTGTAACATTTTTGATTGATTTCCGTAAATCAAAGACCTTATCTGTGCAAGGGCCCTCAGTGTAGGTAGAAGGGTAAGGGTAACGTGGGGGTGGAGGAGTGAGTGCTGCCAAGCAATATATTGATGGTTACAAGAGTAGTCCTCAGTGTAGGTAGGATAAGGGTAACATGGGGGTGGAGGAGTGAGTGTGCTCAAGCAATATATTGAAGGCTATAAGAGGAGTACCAAGGTTCTTACCTTCTGCAAACAGTATAGGTATAGTTCACCATAGTAATTCTCCAGGGTCCACCGCCAGGTCCTTTAGAAACATTTCCAAATCCTAACCGCGAGTAATCCTGGCAACATGGCATTCTATTTAACCGATCAACACCCTGTACAATAGGGTCTACTTTAACAGGGATATCACTAATATCAACTACAGAATCATCATCTGTCATAGATCCACTGGGAGAACCAGGTCCATCCCTAGGGTTGCTCCCTGCACTATACTTTTTCCGTCTTGCTGATATCTTAAGGTTTGGTAAACTACCTCTCTTAGACGAGGATGTTAGGTCATGGAATTTTTTTCTTGTTTTTCGTAATGTTCCTTGGCGTTCCATTTGCTTTTTGATTACAAATGTTGGCGTTCTACCGAGTCCTTTGCCAACGAAAGCAAACGAGCTGAATACAGTTTGCGGAGCTTGTACGGTGTGGAGCCGCTTACGGAAAATCTCTACCATCTCTGTGCCTACTTCTTCGTCATAAGCAAGCTTCATTAACTGAAATAGTTAAACGGAAAGAAATTAAATGTTGTTAAAAGAATAATTGGATTGACAATGCCAATGGTATGGGAAGATAAGAAAGTTACTTGTGACAAATAGAATCGTTCTGAATTTATTACGAATCATTAACTGACTTCAAACACAAAGAAATAATTTTTCGTAAAAAGGGATGATTATCTTTTGTGGGAAATGTCAGACAGCAGCTGAATACCGTCATATAACCACTGCCTACCTGGAACGTGCTAGACCGCAGTTGAATACAGTCATGTAGCCACTGTCCCAGATGTTCCATAAAAGTGACGCCAATTTTCTTCTCCCGTATCGTAGAGCCAACAGGAAAACTTCTGGTCACTATCATCTCCGAGGCTGAAAAGTATAATAATTTGTTAAAAATGTAAATTTGTGCAAGACCCAACAATAGCACCGGCGTATCCAAATAGGTAACGTTAGGACTGTTTAAAGCTCAAAATAGACAGAAAAATTGATGCTACATGAGCAAAAAACGACATAACATTGTTCCTTATCCATAGAGGTGTTTCCTATTCATCAGATAATGTAACAAATAACTGTAGAGCTTAATCAGGACTGCCCACAGACCTTACAAATTGTGTAGTTGGAGGTGGGGTGATGCCACGCCCTGATTCCTTCCCCTTCCCCTTCCCCTTTTTTCATAAACCACTAAACCACAATTTTAACTATTTTACCAAACTGATCAACTGGAGTTCCCCTGAAGATGACTCAGTGAATGGTAAGAAACACTGCCCCTCCCATCAGAATAAATTTGACCACGCCCTGACCCCCTCCGCTCCCCTTGGCTAGAGAGCAATAAATCCTAAATAACTTACCAAACTGATCAATAGGCGTCCCCTTGAAGATGGCTCAGTGAATGGTAAGAAATACTACCCCTTCCATCAGAATAAATTTGACCACGGTCTGACCCCCTCCCCCACCTGGCTAGAGAGCAGTACATCCTAAATAACTTACCAAACTGATCAATAGGTGTCCCCTTGAAGATGACTCGATAGTTAGTAAGAAACACAGCTCCTTCAGCAGGAATCAAACATGGTCCCCCAGCTTCCCCTCCCCTTCCTAATTCTCGGCCATCAGCCAATAAGTAGCATCTCAAACCATCACATAACATATCTTCTCCTGTCAACAAAGCTGGCCGCATGATCTTGATCTGGTGGCAAACAACGGATGGACAGTCAAGAGCTGTCAATTTCCAGTGTTGGGTGGGGGATGGTTGTGGTTGGTTGGATGGATTGATTGATGGATGGATGGTTGGACACATAAACGTTCAGCACCCCTGACCAATAAAATCAACGAAAAACCTGTCAATCAAATTGACAGGACTAAACAGGGAAGGAAAGAAAGAAAGGGAAACTCTTCTGCTCATTGCTACGCTCTTATCAAGACAAAACTGTCAACCAGTTAATCGGCCATATACTACTGTCAGTCAAATTAATTGTAGTAGTATGTACAGGTACATTGGAACAATTTATTTGATGACCTCTTTAGCTTAGATGTAATGTTCTCTCGTTCCACATCATGTGTCATTCTCTAGAGTATTTTTTCTTTGTTTAACAGTAGTTCATGAGAAGACACGCAAATATGGATACAACTCAAAAAAAGAATCTCATTCTCAAGGGGATAACACATGGTCTGAAATGGAAAGACATTATGCCCAAGGTAAAGTAGTCTACTGCCCATAAACCTGTCACATTTTTTGTCCCAATCAGCACATAGCAATGAAAACAATATTATGGTAACGCAAAAGAAAGGAAGACTATATGAGAATTAAAAGGCCATACTTTTTTTAAAGATTTTACTGCGATTCCCAGTCACACGCGACCAACTAGACCTTCATCACAAGCGAAAAGTTGAATTTGGGTGGACGTCCATCAAAAGGGTTTCTACCGTTTCTATTGGTTTCTACACCAGGACTGATGTGAATACTCACGCGAACATGTGCAAAATCGTTGTCTTTATCTCATGCTTCTTGTTGCGTGAATTTCTCACTCTGGATATATTTTCTCAAAAATGTCTAAGGATTCTGACTCCGAATCTTAACGCTTGATTGCAAAGCTATCGCTATGGCTATGATTTGAGTTTCTTCAAGATAGGATAAGTCAATACTGATAGTTTGCAGTTAAACGTTTGAAATTCGGAGTCGGAATCCTTAGACATGTTTAAGAAACCTTTTTGATTATGTCCACCAAAACTCAAATTTTCGTTTGTGATTTTGGTCTCACTTGGTCGCGTGTGACTGGGAATCGCAGTAAAGCTCAGGAAAGTCTAAGAATTTTGAGGTAATTTTTTTCATTTATTTTCTACACACTAAGAATGTTAGGTGTTTATAACAGTGTTAGTAGAACGGCGTTATCAAACACTTTTATTGGTCAGTTGTGTTAGGTAAGTTCTTACGCAATCAGTATCAGATGGATTGTTAGTAACAATGTTATGGCAACCTGTTGCCATGGTAATCAGAGCAGAGGAATCACAAAAGATTAAATACAGAAATAACTCAATTACTGTTGTTCTATGAACACTCGAGTTTGTCAACCAATCAGATTACGAAAACAATAGAATTCGAGTTAAACTTAGGCCAAACAAAAAATAAGTGTGTTTCCTGTTGCGCGACCGACCCTAATTTTCTTGCCGATTTTTGCCAACTCTAATATTTTTTTCATTCTCAAATGCACCACAGGGTTCCCAGTAAGCTCATTTCCACTGTTGTATCAGTAAAAAAAATCTGACCTATTGACCCCAATTATTTTTCTCATGCAACAGGAAATACACTTATTTTTTTGTTTGCCCTTATCTGTTTATTCATCTCCTTGAATAGCTTTCATAGACTCTCAATAATTGTAATTGAATTCTATTGTTTTTGATTCGTAATTTGATTGGTTCACAAACGTGAGAGTTAACACTTAGAGTAGAACGACAGTAACTCATGCAAAATCAGAAATTCAAGACACACCTTTCTTTGGGGTGCTAAACGCCTGTACTGTGCCCACACTGGCTCTAGTGATTCGATATGCATGGCTACGACACCTAGGAAAGAAAGAATATGTTTCCAAATCAAACAGCTTGAGAGATGCAAAGAGAAAACAGAAAATGAGAGACTGCGAGAGAGAGAGAGAGAGAGAGAGAGAGAGAGAATATTCATGTATTCCAGTGGAATTTTGAAGTGTTGGTATTGCTGAAGTTGTGCAAAATTTACTATAACATCAATAATGGTATTTGTGAATATTTTAAGGCAGAAATGAGGCTAACCATGTTAAACCTGTTAAACCCTGAGAAAATGCAACCTGTTAAACCTGTTAAACCCTGAGAAAATGTAACCTGTTAAACCTGTTAAACCCTGAGAAAATGTAACCTGTTAAACTCTGAGAAAATGTAACCTGTTAAACCCTGAGAAAATGTTACCTGTTAAACCCATTAAACCCTAAGAAAAGTCTGTACTCAAGGAACACAGTGGTATTTTAAGGTCAAAAAGTCTATTGATTGAAGTAATACCTGGAATCATTGCATAAAGTGACTTCATGTGTTCTGTCCTGATCCCAGCTTCTGTCCCAACCCGATCAACGAATCGTAACACAAATTTTGTTACAGTGTCTGCGATGGTTTCCTCTTCGTCATCAAGATAGCTATCCCAGCCACTATCTGTCACACTATTGGCTGAATCCCCTGCGACTTCTGTAATATTAGAGGCAATGGAATGTGAGTGACAGCTGCTAATCAATATTAATATCTGCCATTACCTAAAAGGCATATCCATGATCTAAAAATATATGAGGAACAAGAGTTCATTGACATGAAATTTGAAGTTCCATACACATAACAATATAATTACAATCAAAACAAAACAGTGAGCGAGAGCTGTCAATCAAACAGATCTATGACCATTACCTCCATTAGTGACGGCACTATCAGCAGTATACACACCACTGACTGACCCCTCACGACCAGCTATAGACCCTATAAGAATGTAAAAAATAGCAAATATCAACAATTTTATGAAACTGCCCCTGGGCTGAACTAAGTCAGGGCATGGCTAACTCACAGATCAAACAATGACAAAACCTCTGGGCTGATCTAAGTCGGGACATGGCTAACTCACAGATCAAACAATGAAACAACCTCTGGGCTGATCTAAGTCGGGAGGTAGCTACATGTAACTCACAGATCGAACCCTGAAACAACTTCTAATAGATCTTATTGGCTGCGGCGTAATGTTTTCCCATTTTAGACAAAGTGGCATTCTCTTGAGAATATGATTTTCAAGATAAGAGTTGTATCCATATTTATTTGTCTTTTTATCTGCAATTGGAAAACATTGCACAACTACAAATAAAGTATTTCTTTACCTGTGGCACCTGCAGCGTGTGGGGCCTGATTACGCGTTCTTGATGGCATTAATTCACATGCATTCAGTGGTATTCTCATATATACCATACGGTTAGCATAGTGTATGGCCTGACTATATACAATACTCTCTTCGCTAGACATTAAATTGGTCCTCTCTTTCTGGGCCATATTTGGCCAGCGCTTGAGCTAAGGAAGAAGAAACAATGGGGTAAGTTGATAATTATCAAATGCACTTCAGTGGTTAACACCAACAAAACAACATCATCATCATCAATCCTTGACATCATCAATAGCACCAACATTATCATCAGTGTTATCATTATCACCGCCATCACCATCATCATCTCCATTATGAACATTGTCATCCTACATGTACCTGTTCTGCAGCAATGTCCAGAGCACTGGGCTGCGGTTTATTTGGTGGTGATCTATTCACAGGTTTCAGGGCAACTTTAGAATCTTCCGTTGAATCCCCGGAATCTCTCCCTGATGAATCCTTGGTGGATAAACTTCTGTGTTTCATTGAGGGAGTAAGACTGCTTCTTGAAGATCTGTTCTCTGGTTTTTCTAGAGTGTCTTCTTCGTTAGCTTTGGGAGGTTCGTCTATGATATATAACTGTTTGATTTGTGTCTGTACGTCCATGTAGAACGCTTCTTCCCAGAACTGTTGCTTCTCCCAGATAGCATGGTCTTGGACACCGGTGTAAGCAAACTGAATGCACCCAGTTGCAAGTTTCTATAAGCACAATAAAATTGTTAAGAAATTATTGATCATTTCTGTAGACCATTTTAATTAATTCCACAATGCCTTGTTTTCGGTATTTGACGTTAAATTTATTCTTTTCAATTTCATTTTTAAAATATACAGATGTATCTAGACATATAAATGACAAACAAATAAATTTGGCATCAAACGGGTAAAAGGTATATAACACTTTCCTAGTTCATAATTAAATTTATCACACAATTAATTAGTTTAGAAAATTAAGGAGATGTCGATGATCTTTTGAAATGCTTGAGGCTTTGATCATACTAGTAGTGAAATCATAACATAATGGAATGAAAATGAAGAAATGAAATGAAAAAAAATAAGTGGTCGGTATTTTCTAATGATGATGATTGGTGATGACAATGATGATGATGATAGTAGTGGTAATGACGATGAAGATGGTCATGATCCTTACCCGGCAGAAAGTAGTGGTGAGAGGGAGTAATGCAGCGGCAACTGCGGTGTTATCCATACTAGCGTCCGACTGAAAAAAAAGAAAGCAAAAATAAATGAGAATGAGAAAGAATTTTTAAAAAAATCTTTGCTAACCAAAAAATGAAAAATGAAAAAATGAAGAAACAAAAAACAAGCAAGCAAGCAAAAAACAAACAAACAAACAAGCAAGCAAACAAAATATTTACCTGTAGAGCACTGTTCATCAGTCGAACTACCAAGTCAAACTGGTCATGCTCAAGTACAGATCTATTCTGCTTGGCTCGTAGTGATAGTTCATGACACAGAGCTAGTTGTGCACCTTTGGATTTCAGAGATCGAAGCACTGATGGTAGAGCCTGTGAAGAAAACAGAAGTTGACAATCATGGTAGTTAAAAGCCAGAGAATTTTGCTCAGTTATTGGAGCTTTATCTGGAGCACAGAGCATTATCTCCAATCCTTTTTAACAAGAACCCAGGATATATAACACGCATCTCTTACCATTCTAGCCTCTGATATCTTGTTATCAAAGATATATGTCACACAGTCCTTCAGCACTTCCAGTTTCCTACTATGAATATAATGCTGCTGTCGGCTGTATGAACCAGTACTGCACGGCACGATTTTTGGTTCACTGTTGATGACTTGAAAATGTTCCACATGGGATGCTTCTTCTTTGATGAACTGGTTGATTATGTCTTGATCAAGATGAGGAAAGAGGCTCTTCTTACTGACCTCAGTATCAATACCATCAAGAGTATTCTGGATTTGGTTTTCTGAATTATCACATGCTGGTTCCTGTAATGCCAGAATGAAATCATCATTAGTGTTCCAGTTTCATGTTCTCTGATGCATTCCAATTCGATCTGTGAGTAAGCTATGCCCTGACAGAGATCAGCCCAGAGGTTGTTTCAGGGTTTGATCTGTGAGTAAGCTATGCAGTGACGTAGATCAGCCCTGAAGGTTGTTTCAGGGGTTGATCTGTGAGTTAGCCATGCCCTGACTTAGATCAGCCCAGAGGTTGTTTCAGGGTTCCATCTGAGTTAGCTATGCCCTGACTTAGATCAGCCCAAATGTTTTTTCACGGTTCAATCTGTAAGTTACCCATGTCCTGACTTGGATCAGCCCAGAGGTTGTTTCAGGGTTCAATCTGTGTGTTAGCTATGCCCTGACTTAGATCAGCCTAAAGATTGTTTCAGGGGTTAATCTGTAATTTAGCTGTGCCCTGACTTCAGGGTATTGTTAAATTTGAAGGATGAAGGACTATGCCATGAGTACAAGAGACTCTTACATTTTCAAACAGTTTTCTGGCGATGTGTTGTATGTTGGCCAGGATGTCAGCGTCGACATCATTCTCACTCTGAATGATTTCTTCTATCTCAGCACAAAGCTAGAAAAAAAAGAATTAATAGTGAAAACACTACCACTACATTGCATATTTACAATATACAACACTCAACTAACATGTTGATTTTTATTCCGACAAAGGACTAGCGTCCGAAACATCAGTAAGTTTTTTCATCTTTTCACGGTGTATAATTTACCTTTTCATCATTACTGTTTCATTAGAAACACCTACGCAGCTCACACTAGTTTTTAGCTAGTTATATCTTTATGTTGATTTTTATGGAAGTTTGAAAAACAGGAGAAACCAGAGAAAAAAACCAGGACCACAGCTGAGTGAGAGACAAGAGGTAGACCACTACACCACAAAGTAATTTCATACTGTAGTGTCTAATAATCAATAATATTTATTAATAATGTTACCTCATCAAACAGATCACAAGAGCGGTAAGGTGGTCCTCTGTTGACCACAAGCGTCGAGAAGGCAATGCTATCTAGGACCTGAAATAACAGCAGTCCACTGCATTTAGAACCAGTAATAATGATTATAACATACCAATAATAAAAGATCTGATGTCTGCTGCAACAGCATGAAATCTTACCCTTGTAAGAAATTCGTCTCCAATCATGACTCTTTGCTCCAGGAATCTTACCTGTAAAAGTAAAAATAAAATAATATGGTTAAGACATAAAGTCCTCCACTGTGAAAATTCATATTATTAATGCTACCAAAATGATCCACAAGAACAGGTTTGCTCATTAATACGGCAATACTATTGTGTCCTCCTTACCTTATTAAAGGTAATAACTGGCTTGGGATGGATTCTTATCAGTGTTAAACAAGACCTGTAACCAGTTAATGTTCTGGCAAGTAAACGAATGAAGATAGCTCTGATCTCCTTGTCCTACAAGACACAATTGAGATTGTTTTACTTATGAATAATGTTGGTGATGATGGTTATGGTGCTGATGATGATTGAAGATACATGATTTAGGTGATGATGATACATGA